ATAATAGGCGTTTCCAAGAGTGAGGCTCTTAGATGCCATGTTACAAAAGTTTGAGAGAAAGTACTTGTTCAGAGAGTCTTCAATTTGTCAAAGTTTTTACATACAATCAAGTAAATCGTTTCATGATGAGAAGCTCGCGAATAAAAACTAAATCAATAAGGTGTTTTTACGTTCGTTTCTAACTAGGACGATGATATCAATAATTTTAGAAACGTTAGGGACATTATCCGAATAGAATGAAAGAGGAACCAATCCTAAATATAAATGCAATGATATTTAATCAGAGTTCTTGTTTTCTATAGACAAGGCTACTAGAGAACATGAAAGCTATCAGCCACAACTATGCCATATCACATGTGTGTGTGTAATCGATATATTTTGCCATTGGGCATATTAGTTACATTTGTAACTAGAGGACTCAGAGAGTGCAAACCTCCGCCGATCCCCGACAAATGAATCACTTGGTCTTTTTGTCATTTTGCCAATAAATGTCGCTATGCTGTGCTCTCCTCTTGAGAGCACAGCACAGCGACATCTATTGGCAGAGTAGGATAACTGAATATTATTAGTATTTAGCTCATTTTGCATCTAAAGAAGCAATCAGAGATGCCAAAATTTAATCACTTGTTCCTTTTGGCATTTCCAACACCTCCACAAAGTTTCATCCGAATCCGTTCCGCACTTTTGAGTTGTCCTGCTGACAAACAAACAAACCAACCAACAACGCCAGAGTGGAAAACAATACCTCCTTCGGCGGAGGTAACTAGTCTAAAATAAATAAATAAGAACAGTAAAAATAGGTTACAAGAAAGCTACGACAAATAATAAAAATGTAGCATGGATTATGGGGGCACGCTGCGTCCAAATTAAAATGCTATTTTTCGAAAATGCATACTGGCTTAATGGACCATAATGTAGTTTACTGGAGATGATAATAGCATATCCAAAAAAATGCACATAAACGCAGACGAAACATCTTTAAACAAAAAGAGCAACTATTTGATGAATGTAGTTAAATTTTATCAGATCCCAGATCCTAGTAAAGCCAATCCGATATTTCTCTTCATACTACTATTAAGACCCTAGGCAGGTTTTTGATGATACTAATTATGTTAAGGCTTTTTATAAAGGTTATGCCCTTCCAGTGGGTTCATTTTAAAAAACAAAAATATGACGGCGTTTTATATATTTGAATTAAACATCATACATGATGAATTTTTAATGAGTTTCACGTATAAATCTACAAAGGGAAACATTAATTTCAGGCTATACAATTATACATTTGTATGTTCTGTTGGTACGAATGGGGTCCAAATACTTAATCTTTATAAAAGAATACAAAATCTGACGATAATATAAAACAGCTAACAAAAACATATAAACTAAAGTTTAGCTGAAAGGGATACCATAACGTTAATAAGGAATCCAGGAACTAGGAATAACTCATAAAACGAGGCATTCGATAGTTTCTAAGGTACCCCGGATCTTATAATGTTTAGGATCATAATATCCTTCTTCTTGACTTTTTCATAAGAAGACATAAAAAATGAACACATTCTTAATTTTTTTTGGACTGTTAGCCTCGACGTATCAATGGGTTTTATTGCGTTAGTATTCTTTAGTGCGTTTGCATATTGAATATTCTTTTATCAGTTGAGTTTCAGTATGTTTTTGTCTCTTCTGGGATTCTGAATGTGTTACCTCTGATATCTCATAAGCTAGTCGTACATACTTGCATCTTCCTCATTTTTCTTTTTTTGGGAAAAATGACGTGTTCAGAAAAGTTGTCAAATAAATAAAATAATTTTGGATTTTTGTCTGAGACATGCTGATGATGTTGTGTATTTTTCTGGAAATACTTTTATTATTGGACCTTCACAGAGTTGTAAATGAGTCTTTTGATAGCAGATGAAAAAATTAATATTCCACCAAAATTATGGCTTTTCATCCATCTTTCTTCATAGTCCTATATCTATTTGATCATGTACCAACTTTAGCTTTATCGAAGAGGTTAACAATCTAAGACAAAATAGTTTACTTAAAACACTACTGGGTATCACACCTATAGAAATCATATATATAGTTAGAAATATAATATATAAATAGTTACTATTACGTTCAGATTTGTATATTCATTTTTCAAAATATAAAAACTGAAGGGGGCACACGGAGTTGAATCATGGACTATCGATCTGCAGTCGATTGCTCTACCACTGAGCTTAACCCCAGTTGCTTAATAGAGTAGTAGAGTAGTCCAAAGTCATTACACATACACAGATGTGGGCGCAGTTAGTATGATAAGGCAACTTAGAACATCATTTAATAAATGTAAAAAAATGATTATGTTCGTGCTTTGATCACACAAGTACTGGGGTATAGCTCAGTGGTAGGGCAATCGACTGTAGAACGATAGGCCCATGATTAACTCCATGAAACCCTGTGGGTTTTACTTCATTTAATGTTAAAGCATATGAATATCGATATGCTCAAAAGTCTTTTGTACACGAGTTTGTAGAACATTGATATATTAGTATATCCCTGTTTGCTATATCCTGTACTCCCTTAAAATTTGCCTTTTATTATGTTCAATTGAAAATACTAATTACATGCATTTGTTGAACATATTAATTATACAATATTATGAGGGTGACAAACAAAATATTTTCTTTATATTTATATGTGCTCGCATATTTGGGGCGCCTACGGCGCCCATATGTTTCGCCCCTCGGGTATGGGTAGGTTTGGAGCTAGTTTGTGAGTGAAACAGACCTTAAAGAATAAAGAGGAGAGAGAAAATAATTGCAGTTTGTTCAAACATTCCTCATAAGAAGTTTGCCTTTGTACAAAGATTATATTTAAGTCACATGAGATGCTTTTTTCTATTTCTCTAACTCCTCCTCAACCTTTCTTTTTTCCTCTCTTACCTTGATACGTAGGTAGTTCAAATCAGACAAGTTCTGTTTTTTTTTCATTTCTGTCCCATCACTTTGCAAAATCGTTTATTAGGTCCGTCTTGACCCAAGGATTCCATAGATACCTTCAAAGTTCAAATTGACCATAAATGTGGGAGGAGATAGCGTGCGCGACATACAGACGGACAGAGATTGGTGAATATTAGATAGATTATAAAAGGATTGTAAAAATGCTCAATGAATCGTTCATCAGTGATAGTTTTTTTCTTTTTATACATTGGTTGTATTGTTCCTCTTAAAAAAATGATTTTTATGGGACAATATCCTTATTCGGTGTCAAATAATTTTTACATGAAATAGAGAAAACTAGAGGCATATATTTGATTATCTATTCCATTATTATATTATTAACAAAAAAACTAGAGGCATATATACCACTCAGAGAGTGCAAACCTCCGCCGTCACGGGTCCTATGAGCTTCCGAGGCGGATTTTTCACGACTGGGGCGGTACGTAGAGGGACGGGGGAGGGTTCCCCTCGACGGAAATTCCAAGGGAAGACGTTCCCCGCAACGATTTGACAGCACAGCGACATCTATTGGCAGAGTAGGCTAACTTGAAATATTTATTAGTATGTAGCTCATTTTGCATCTTAATTCTGCACTCAGAGATGCCAAAATTTATCTCTTTTCTTTTGGCACTTCAACAACTCCACAAAGTTTCATCGAATCCGTTCCGTACTTTTTGAGTTATCCTACTGACAAACAAACCAACCAAACAACAAACCAACGCCAGTGAAAACTAGAGGCATATATACACTCAGAGAGTGCAAACCTCCGCCGATCCCCACCTAATGAATCACTTAACAGAATTACAATCCAATCATATATGTCTACATAAGTAGGTGTGTTAGGTGAATAATGAGTGAGGAGAGAGCCATCTAAAAATATCCATTGACGTCATACTATTGATTAGTCAATTCAGAAATACGTCAATGAATGTTTAAACTCCTTTCTTTTCTCCATCATGCTCTTAATATTAGCGTTATATTTTATTTAATATTATATTAAGAGGAAGACGGGAAGAGGAAAGAAGTTTAAGCACCCAGTGACGTAGTCCTTAGCTGCTAAATGAACAATATTACGTCTGAAAAGTATGAAAAAGGAGTATGAATAATTAAAGATCAGTGGTGTTTTGCTGAATAATCACTTCATTCGTGACTGTTAAGGATTGAACCAAGGTCTGTATAATAAGGTCTGGCAATACAAAAACATGCATGTAATCCTAGCAGTATAACTATCAATGGCGTCACTGGAGACGAATATATATATATATATATATATATATATATATATCTATATATATATATATATATATATATACATAAGCGTAGGGACGGGGGGGGCAGGGGGAGCAACTGCCCCCCAAAATTCGGGTGAATGCTAAATTCGGGCAAATTGGTTGAGGTATTCAGGCATTTAATGGCATGTGAAGAAAAAATATGAAATTATGAAAGCAAATGGATTGTGAATATAAACAAGAGCCTTCAACCTTTATGTGACTCCGATTCACATTAAGAGTCCACCTTTCCCCCTTTAACGCTCAACTTTTGCTTATGAGAAATATGAAATTAAATTTATCACACATTGAAGTTAATAATTTTTGTGCCCCTGAAAAAATGCACCTCGCACTTAGAAGGTAAGAAGAGAGTACTTTGATACTACTTAGAACTTAGTAAAAGAAATATATAATAACAAACAATCAACAAGTTATTGTACTACGATAATAATAAAGTTCTTCTCAGAGATAATTGTTAGTGAACATACCTTTTGGAGTTTCGGCAACTTTATTCATCGAACTACTAAGCAACACTTTTCTCCATAGAGGTAAGTTGCTGCTCACTGTATAATCAGAATTTGCTTTTATTGAAAATTATAATTAAATTAATGTTCATTCACAAACTGACATGCGAGATCATCCACATCAACCTCTGGTGGATGAATACAACAGGAAGCAGCTAGATCAGGGAAGTGGGACAAGAGACTTAATCCTGACCTGTTCAAGAAGTACCAATGGACGAGCTTTGATACTCCCACGAAATCTATAGTTTGTTTCCCGTGTCATAAGTTTGTATCTGATTCAGGGTTGTTTGATTTAAATCAGGCCAATTTAAATCATTGATTTAAATCGCGATTTAAATCAAGTGGATTTCCAATTAAAATCATTGATTTAAATCAATTCATGTTTTTTTCAATAAATTAAATTGATATTTAATTTTATGCTTCTAATTCTCAATGACAGAAACAAAACATTTCATGTCTGTCTTCTTAATAGTAGAGCAGTGGCCTTTTTCATTATATCTATAGCCTCAGACTATAGGCCTATATCATATAATATATCATATTAAGCTTTGAGTTAGGATTATTTGATTTAAATCAAGCAATTGGATTGCGATCTAAATTAAGTTTTTTTTCCAAAGACATTTTATAATCAATGATTAAAATCAAGTCATGTTTTATCAAATAAATTGTTTATTACTTGTACAATGTAAATGGAAAAGTTAACGCAGTTCAATTTGACAATTACAGGAACGAGTTATTAATTGTCAGTCTTCTTGCTCTTCTAAATCTTCTAATTAGCTAAGATTTGATGAACATATTTAACAATTTGCTTCTATTCTGCTTGTACAATATGAATGAAAAAGTAAACTCAATTAAATTGACGTTTACAGGAACGAGTTATCAATTGTCCGATTGTCTTGCGCCTCCTTTTCCAAGCGTACCTGGCGCGTCCTAGATTCGAGAGTGACCCATCTTGTATGTAGTCATCTTTGATCAGCCGTTGGCAGCTCCACCCAGTATTTATTTAAGGTAGAAAATTGTCATGAGTCTTCGATCCTCGCTTGGATTTTCGAACTGTCACGTGATTAGCGAGTATGACTCATTACAAGGCCTTTGAAGTTCTGTAATTTTATTGTTTACTCCTTTGCATTCTTTATTAAATTAAATCATTAAGTAAGGCAACTAGAATTTAATCAAAGACAGCATTTAAAGTCCCCTGAGTAATAGGTAGGCCTATATGTATATTGGGCATGTTTTAAAAAGTTACAATTTAAAGTATGGACAAAATTTACACATTGAAAAAAATATTTTTGGTTAATAAATATGGTTAACAATTAAAATCAAAAAAATCTGATTTAAATCAAAAAAATCCGATTAAATCAAAAAAATCAACAACCCTGATCTGATTCCACTTCCCATACAGCATTCGGAAGAAACCGGAACGACTAGTGAAGCATGACAAGAGCTGTAATCATCGACTTGTAATATCTTAAAGGATGATTTCAAAGTCAATAAAAAGCATCAGACATCAGTCTTGGTCCAACTTGATACAAGCCACAAAGGACATGGTCCAATAAACAGAAATTACCTTAAAGTTATTGTAGAGTCCATCTTGTACATGCACAGCAAAACATCCATCAGAGAGGTCATGAAGAAGACAGATTGGAGAGCAGTCATACATACACCGTGAAAACTTTATGGAGCTTTTGAATTTGCGATGCAGAGACATTCCTTGGCTTGTCACTAGACTAAACTCAAATTTGGGGGCCAATCGTTAGTGGCTTTCACCAAAAATCCAAAATGAAATACTGATGATTGCATTAATTAGTACTAAAGGAAATAGCTAAAAAGTTTGAGAAGCAGTCTTATTGTGTATGAAACATCAGACGTTGGCAACCGGGAACAAGTGGCAGTGTGTTTGCACTATGTAAACAATGAGCAGCTACAGAAGCATTCGTGGGATTTTATGAAGCTAAGTCCACAACCGGTGAGACACTGTTCAAAATTGTGCTTGAAGGTATCAACTGCCTAGAGTTATGCGTTGAAGAAACTGTGTACCAATGCTATGACGGGGATCCAACAGGACAGGGAAAGAAAAGGGAGTTGCAAAATAATTCAATAGATGTCAGCAAACGAAATAGTAAAATACCTCTGATCAAACTCCCTCTCTGAACTTTGCCACACTCAATGATATTTCAAAGAGCTTAGCTAAAATACCAGTAACATAATGTTCAGCAGAGATATATTTTTCTCTGTTTGAGAAGACTCAAGACCTACCTCAGGTCCACATGAGCCAGGAAAAGCTCCATGCTCTAGGACTTCTTAGCATCGAAAGGCGTATGTAAATAAAATGGATATCAATACTACAAGATATGAATTTAGGAGACAAAAAATAAGGAACAACATGTTTTTCTAGTGTCTTCTGAAATAAAATAATGTAATGAATAATATGTAATCACAATAATAATAATAAATCTA